TGAGAGAGAGAGAATGAGAGACAGAGAGCATGAGAGGGAGGAGGGTCAGAGGGAGAAGCAGACTCCCTGCCGAGCAGGGAGCCTGACGCGGGACTCGATCCCGGGACTCCAGGATCATGACCTGAGCCGAAGGCAGTCGCTTAACCAACTGAGCCACCCAGGCACCCTAAACGAATTTTTAGTGGCAGATTGGTACAGGTTTCCCAGTTACTCGTGGATAGAATATATATCATGTTCTTTTGTTTACTTTAACTAATAGTATAAGCCATATGAATTGCTTCCTTCTCATCTAAACTGAATGTTTTAAGAATTGGTGTTTTTTGTGTTAGAATCAAATAATAATCTAGGTCTCTAGTTCACATGACAAACCATGAAAGTACTGTATTGTAAATTTATTTTTAAATAGTTCGTTGACGTTCTTTCAACCCAGCCATTCAAATTAATACTGCCCACTGGTCCCAGGATTAAAATACATTAGGTTGATGAATATAAAATAAGTCATACTGCAGGTGAGGAAACATTTCACTCAAAACAAATTATTAACCACAGTTCTGCTATAGAATTTGTGTTTTGTAAACTTTTTGGTCTTACGACAAAAATATGTTTGGAGAGGACTTGTGAAAATTTCTGGGTCTATTAAAACAGTCTTCTGGAAAAGAAGAAATGTACTTAAGCTATAAGATTTATAATTTAAACCAAAATACCTAAAAGGGAACAAATCTATCTCTGCTGTTTTTAGAGTAGTCATCAGGGAAAGAGAAATTCCTCATCTTGATACTAATCTTAATACTATAGTTTGAGCAAATTATTAAGCACAATATTTAATAAATTTTGTTGAATGAATGAGTAATTCGAATTTTTGGAAGAAAACCATATAAACAGATTTGTAAATACAGGGAAATTTGCAAATTACACATTTTTATAAGCAGTTTGCGTTTGTATCATCTATACAAATTGATTAATTTGATCTTCAGTCTAGTTTCTAACAAAAGCTAGGCTGTTAGTTGATAATATGGTATCCCACCATGATTTTAAATACTGTTTAGGATGGCAGCAACTATCATTGAGAAGCATGGATTTCAAAGTTAATTAGACCTAAATTCAAGTCCTCATTCTGTCACTTGCAGGATGTGTGACGCGGGGCTAATGATTTTTCCTCTCAGAGCTTCTGTTTCCTGATCTATAAAATAGAAATGATCATCATATAAGTTAGGTTGCTTTTGAATGCAAGAAACAAAATACCTGAGAGTAGCTTAAACTATGGGGTTTTTAATCTCACATAAGAAGTAGTCTGAAGATAGGAGGTTTTAGGATGGATAATATAAGCAGTTCAATGATGTCAGTGCTCTGGGGCCACTTTTCTACATCCATCTTGAACTGATGAATGCCCATTTCCAAACATCACAGCCTAAAGTGAAGCAAAGTGCCTCTCTCCTTCTCTCCCTTCCGCTCCCTTCCCCTCCCTTCCCCCTCCCCTTCCATTCTCTTCTCTCTCTCTCTCCCCCCCCACCGTCCTCTCTCTCTCTCTCTGTTGAGAGTAACATGTGTCCCAGAATCCCCTAGCAGACCTCCCCTCGGGTCCCCCTAACCAGTATTGGGTCATATGCCCATTCCTAAACTACACTCTAGCAAAGGAGAAAGACCAGACCCAAGCATATAGCTGCCCTGGGGGACCTGATCAAAGTCAGGATTGTGTGAGTGAGGAAGAGGAGGGTATTAGCTGTTCAGTGGACAATCAGCAGTGTCTAATGTAATTATTCTCACACAATACAGTTACTATGAGAATTATATGAGAAATATTGAGGTCATAGCATATAGAAGGTATAGAATTAATGTTTATATCCCCAAGAATTGAAACTGTTGGTTAATAAAATCTAATGCAGTAAGTATCTTTGAGTATTTATAATGTACACCTAGATTAAAAGTAATTTGTCATTCCTAGTTAAATTACTTATATAAAGCAAGTAAAACATAAGCATAATTGTTCAAAAGATGATATCTAAACTAACAAAGCTTCGAAAGTGTAAATAGGAGTCTTAAAAAAAAAAGTGAATCTGTACATATAAAAGTATAGATAAGTATAGAATTAAGAAAAAGTGATTTTTCCTGATATTAATGATTTATTTTAACTAAAAGAACATGTGAGGATGTGTAGTTAATTTGGACATACTAGTAAATTCAGATAATTTAGCCAAAAGGGGTTTTCTCTTTGAGGTCTACATTGAGCTTCTCAAGGGCAGAGACTTTATCTTCTTCACTGCAGGTGAGCAATACTTGTTTCTTGAGTAAATGGTGAACGAAAGAATAATGACACATCTCTGTATCTCACGCAGGTCTTCTAGTCTGGCCACCTTAGACATTTCACTTCAGCAAACAGAATTTGTGAACCATTCAATGCCAGGCACCGTGCCAGGTGCAGAGGCACAGAGCTGAAAACATACAGTCCCTTCCCTCTAGAAGCTCACAGGCTAGCGAGGAGTAGGGTCAGAGCTGTGGCAGAGGTGAGGTGTAAAGTGCTGTAGGAGCATATCATTCTGCTGTGGAGCCGGGGTGGGGGCAGGGGACCGGGGGGGGGCATCACAGAGGAAGTGATACTTCAGCTTGGTCTGAAAGTTGGGTACACATTCTCTAGCTAGGAGAATGGGGAAAGGTCATCCTGGGTAGTCTGCCAGATGCACGGAGGTGAGATCAAACCAGGTGCTTATGTTACCAATAATAGTCACAGCTTAAGAAATGAAATCCAAGGTTTAAGTCATTAGAGGAGAAGTCAGTGCCACGGATGTGAGTTGTGATGTTAATGTTTAATGAGTATATCCACGTCGTAGAACTTTTTCATTGTACTCGATAAACCTGATTCTTTTTTAAGAAGTATATAAAAAATATGACATCATTTGTTATTTTTCTGATAGATGATGACTTATGAGTGGTATTTACCCAAGATGGCAAAGCATTTACCAGGTGTCAACTTTCCTGGAGACCGGTGGAATCCTGTGGAAGGAATATTACCTGGTGGAATGGTCACATTTAATCTTTATCATTTTCTTGAAATAAATAAACAGTAAGCATTCTTTTCATATAATAGCTTTTCTAAAATCTTAAGCTTTTCTAAAATTATTTATGTAGCAGCTGTGCCTCATCCAAAGACCAATTTTCTACACCTATTTCCCTGTCACCGGTGAGATTATCTTTGTAATTAAATTGAATATCTGTGCATAAATGAGGCCAGGCAGAAATAAATGTTATTGTTCTGGGTAAAGGAAAAATAAAGACAGATTAACAAGAATGGCAAATAAGATCTTAGTACAACTCAGAGAAATTGGAGATGTGCCTGTCTACTTGAAATCATTGCAGGTGGATCGCAAGCAATTATAGCTTTCCCCGATCAACACCAGGGCCCCCTTTTAAGTGTAAAGCAAATGTTTTCCAGGAATAATCACTATATAAAAATAGCTTAAGGATTTTTTTTTTATAAAGGATAAGGCATTTTTGTAAATAAGAAAAACACCTACAGTTAACGCTGGCCGAGATAACGTATGAGAATTGTGAATTCTATACTTAAGAATATAAAATTATTCATAGTTAAGGTCAAGAATGAATAACTCCTTCAGTGGTATAGTGTTGAACATTTTTCCTAGCCATGAAGTGTGAAGAACACTTGTTTCATAATTTCTATTCTCTTATAAAGGGAACTTGAAAAATTCTTTCTAAATTCCAAAGTTAAATTATCCCTTACTAAGAATATGACAATGTGGTACTTGTGGTGTTCAGAGGCTGAAGTTTACTGTGGCTCATGAAGTAATAAGTAATCAGTATCAATGTGTTATGAGAGTAACATTTAATTGTTCTATTTTGGAATAAAATATCAAGAGCCATTAACATCCGTAAAGAGGCATTTTTTTGGGTGAATTTTATTTAATTCAACCCCACAAACATTTCCCTGTCACCGGTGAGATTATCCCACAAACATTTATTGAATTTACTATGTTCCAGCTCCTGTTAGGCCTTGGCAGTAAAGTGAGACTCAGTTCCAAATTCAAAGAGACCACAATCTAGTTGCATCTATACAGAGATATGCGTTTAACTGGCTATAATATAATGGGGTAAGCTCTATATTAGCCAAGCTTTGTCAAGTGTGATACCCAGCTCAATATGTGTTTACTGAATGGATGACTTAACTGGGAGCATGGATGAAGAAGCAATTAATTCTGCCTGGGGGCATTCACTCCACATTTACTTAATAAATATTGAGTGGCCAAGATGCCCCAACAACTACACAAGCTACGGCTGCTTGGGCATGGCCTCTTGCTGTTGCAGTCTTTCAGGGAGGGTTTTGGGCGGTGCCTGACGTATGAAGCGGATAATTACATTGTCATCCGGGAAGCATGGCAGTGTTGGTACGGACAAAATGTTAGAGACTTAAGGACGAGGTAGGAATTTGCCAAGTGGGCGGGAGAAGGCTGATTCAAGGGAAGTGCTTGTGTGAAGTCCTGGAAAGGGCTGGCTGAGCTCTAGGGAAACTGGGGGTGGCCCAGTAAGTGTGGAACACAGGGCTTAAGAGGGCTAGGTGAAGGGACGATGCGCAGGGAGGGCGGGACCCAGATTGTCAAGGGCGTTATCCCATAGACAGGGTTGAGGCCTGGCCTCGTTATGGAAATGCTGTATGCTCCTTGGAAACTCTGGTGTAAAGAAGAGCAGCATCTGTCTTTAAGACAGCTGTCATAGTCTTAACATTTTGGTAAACTTTTTGGAATTCCATTCAGTACCATCAATTATTTACTTACACGAACACGTACATTCTCACACACTCATACTGCACTAGCTGGGATCATACTTAGTTTCCTGTTCAGTTTCTTTTCACCTAATCTCATGTCATAAACATTTCCCCATGTACTCCGAAAAGTGCCTTTATTACCGTCACTTCTTGACTATTTAATATTCTTATATAGATGCACGATGACTTAACAAATAATCTATTTTTGGACATTTTTGTTGTTTCTAGACTTTGGCTATTATAATATAGCATGGTGATGAACTTTCTGGGCCATCAGTTTTTATTAATCTGATTAACCAAGGCTTCAAGATTAATGTTGCTTATTGGTATCAGTTTTTTAAATAAAATTTTTAGTTTAAAAAGTAACATTGTTCATTATAGAATAAGAAATTATTTTTTTAAACTAGAAAAAATATGGTTCTATCACTCAGAAATACAAATAAATCAAAAGTGCATATTTTTACAAAATTGAAAGCATAAAGCAGAAGAATCCTGTTTTTTCAGTAAATATCATAAAACCATTTTTTAATGTTTTTACACACTTTTTGTAAATATTTTTCGTAGGTACATGTACTATATTTTAATCATAGAGGAATGGAACTATTAGTAGATATTTAACATATCTTAATTTTTAACTGTCATAAAATTATAGACTACATTAAATGACTTGTGTGTGTATAGTTTTTCTTTGGAGGAAGTAGAAGTTTGAATTCTTAGGATAGATTCTCAGACATGAAATTACTAAGTCAGAGGACATGAACAATTGAAAGGCACTTGATAGAGATTTTTTTTCCCCAAGCATTGAACCATCAGCATCATATGAAAGCTCTCTAAATGGGTACTTTTTAAAAGGAAGGAAGCTAATATTAACACTTACTATTTTATTTTATTTTATTTTAACATGAAGTAAAATTTGTCTTTTTTTGATGTATAGTTCTATGAATTTTAACACATGTATACACTTGTGTAACCCCCACAACAGTCAGGATACAGAACAGAGCCATGACCCCAGAAACTCCCTTCTGTGTGGTCTGTTCTCCATTGCTATAGTTTTACCTTTTCCAGAATGTCATGTAATGGACTTATAAATCATGTAACCTTTTGACGCCAGCATATTGCACTTAGCATAATGCCTTTGACATCCATCCAAGTCGTGTGTACCGATGGTCTATTCCTTGTCATTGCTGAGTAGTGTTCCATTGTAGAGGTGTAGTATCACAGCTTCTTTATCCATTCACCTGTTGAGAGACATTTGACATTTGGGTTATTTTCAGTTTGGGGATAGAGCTGCTATAAACATTCATGTACAAGTTTGTGTGCGAATATGGATGGGATTATTGGATTGTTTGTTTTCTTAACTATTGGGTTTTAAGAGTTCTTTATGTATTCTAGGTAGAAATCCTTTGTCAAATATGTGATTCATGAAGTTTGTAGCTTGACTTTTTATTCTCTTTGAGGTGTCTTTTGCAGATAAAAGTTTTCTGATTTTGATGAAATCTGGTTATCAGTTTTTTCTTTTATGGATCATACTTATTTTCTTTTTTGGATCATACTTTTTGGTGTCACATCCAGGAACTCTTTGCCTAATGCCGGGTCACAAAGATTTTCTCATGTTTTCTTCTAGGAGTTTAATAGTTTTATGTTTTACATTTCAGATCAATGATCTACTTTGAGTTACTTTTCATAAGGGGCAGGGGATTAAGACAAGGTTCTTGGGGATTTTTTATTGTTGTTTCTTTTTGGCATGTAAATGTCAAGTTGTCCTCATAGTTGCTGAAAATGCCATTGAGTGGCATTTGCATCTTTCTCTGTATTTTACAAAAAAAGAATTCTTCTGGGTTTTTTATTGGTTTTAATTTGATTAGTGTTTTCATAGTGTATCTTTTTTTATCCTTTTGTTTTTAACCACCTATATCATATTTAAAGTGGGTTTCTTGTAGATAGCATATTTATTATCCATTCTGACACTATCATTTCATTGGTGTATTTAGACCATTTGCATTTCATGTAAATATTGACATATTTAGATATATGTCTACTATTTTACGATTTGCTCCCAATTTGTTCCCTCTGGTTTTTAGCCCACTGCTCCCCCTTTCCTGCCTTATTTTGGAAAATTTGGTTTTTTAAGTACTGCATTTTAAATTATTTATTGAGATTTTTACTATGTCTTTTGGTAAATTTTTTTTTTTTTACAGTTTATCTTGGGAATCATGGTATACATACTGAACTCTTCACAGTCTACTCAGGATTGATATTTTGCTACTTCAAGTGGAATATAGAAAATTTGCTGCCATATAAGTCCCTTTAACCTCCCCACTTTTGGTTGTGTTGTCATATATCTTATATCAGACATGCGATAATTTTTGTTTTCAACTGTCATACATATATTTTTAAATTTAAGAGAAAAAAATAGTCCAAGATATTTATGCAGATATTTACCAGATCCGTCGCCTTTCTTTTGATCCTGATAGTCCATTTGTCCTTTTGTATCATTTCTCTTCTGTCTGAAGATATTCCTGTAACGTTTCTTTTAGGGCAAGACTGTTAGCAGTGAATTCTCTTAGTTTTCCTTTATCTGAAAATGTCTTTATTTCTTCCTCATTTTTGAAGAGTATTTCCAGATATGAAGTTCTGGGTTGTTCGTTTTGTTTTGTTTTGTTTTTCCCCACCAGCACTTCAAAAATGTTATTTTGCATCCCTTTAACCTACATGGTTTCTGTTGGAGAAACCCACAGTCATTCAAATCATTGCTCTCTGTGTGCAATGTGTTGTTTTTCTCTGGCTGCTTTCAAGAGTATTTGTCTCCAGTTTTTAGCAGTTTGATTACGGTGTATCTGGGCATGGATTTGAATCTAATCTGTTTGGGGTTCACTGAGCTTCTTAAATCTGTAAGATGGTGTCTTTCACAAAATTTGGGAGCTTTTTAGACATTATTTCTTCACTTTTTCTGCTTCACATTTTTTCTCTTCTCCATCTGGGATTCTGATGACATGAACATTAGACCACAGGTGCCTGAGACTGTACATTTTTTTCAGTCTTTTTGCTCTTGGTTTAAATTATATCATTTCTCTTGATCTGTCTTCAAGTTCACTGCCTGCCAGCTGTCTGTCTCTCTCTCTCTCTCTCCAGACTTAATATTAAGCCCATCTGGCAAATTTTTAATTTCCATCATTGTATTTTTCAGGTCTATGATTTCCATTCGGGTCCTTTTTATATCTTTTATTTCTTTGTTGAGATTTTCTATTTTTCCATTCATTTCAAGAGTACTTGCCTTTACTTGTTGGTGCATGCTTATAATAGGTATTTTAAAGTCTTTGTCTGACAATTCTCACATCTGTGTCATCTTGGAATTGACATCTGTCGATTGCATCTTCCATTGTGAGTTGAGATTTTCCTGGTTCCTCATATGCCAAATAATTGTGGATTGTATCCTGGACATTTTGAACATTTGGGCCTTATTTAAATCCTAGGGAGAATGGTATTTTGTTTGTTGTGTTTGTTTAACGGACCTTCAGTCAGGTAAATCTCAGGCTGCAAGTTCTGACCTGCTGTCTGAGGCCTACAGTTCCAGTGTTGGTTCTGTTTCCAAAGCATTTGCAGTGCTATCTGAATCAATCCCTGTGTGTGCTGCCCATTACCCAGTCTGGGACCTGGGTGGCCATCTGTCCAGTGGCTCATTTCTCAAAGTCTATTAAGGGTCAGATCCATGCATGCTGAGCTCAGAGATAAGCCAGGAGTTCATACACAACTTTATGGGATGGCTCTCTTGACCTCCCTCCTTTCTGTCTTCACCCTGGCCCTTCCCCCTCCTTGGAGCTTTCTTTCCAGTTCTCTGGGCAGAAAACTGGCTCTTTAATTTCCCTCTTCTGCCATGTACTTCCTGTGACTGTCTGTATGTGGGACCAGGCTGCCAGAGGACACAGAGAGGTAAAGAGCCATGAGGATTTGCTCCCAGCTCTTGCAACCATAGCTCCTCTGATTAGAGAGCAATGTTCCTTTCCCTCCGCACTGTGGGAACCAGCCCACCGTCATACTGCTGCCTCGTTGCCGGCACAGTACTGCCTGGGGCCTGGGGAGGAAGAGAATGGGGGCAAGCCAGGGCATTTCCTCTGCTTTCCACAGAGTTCCCTTTCCTCCTCCCCAGGCTTTTCTTGGAGCTCTTTTTGTCCTCACTTGGTATGTACTTCCGGGTTTTATGCTTCCCTTGAGTCCAGGCAAGGCAATACTGGAAGGGGAAAAATGGAAAACTCACCACAGGTTTGGTAGAACTTAGAATTCTGGTGTCTCTCCCCATCCTTCTTTACTTTACATCATTTACTTTTCAGAGTCCTCAGATTCCATGCATTCTGTCCAGGAAATCTGGTATGCAGTGGGAGAGACAGGGGAGAGTGTGCTTACTCCATCTTCCCCAGAACCAGAACTCTTCTAATGTTCGAATACTGTACTTTGTATCAGATGCCTCATTTAATCTTAAATGGGTCATACCCATTTCACAGACGAGGAGACTAGACACAGGTAGTGAAGTAATTTCCTCCAAATCGTAGAGGTCATAAATGAGGGGGGAAATGTAAAATCTAAGCCAAAAGTATCTTGTTTCAAAGTTCATGAAGTTTTTTACTTTCAAGTAATTTCTTCTAATATGCTTCCCTGCCCTCCCCACTTAGCTATTGCTACTCAGGCATACACCACAAATTGGAATAGAACTATTCAATTATAGTGAGTTTGAACCAAGCTTATTTAAACCATTTCTATTCCTAATTTTTGCAGGATTCAAAGCTCCTAATAGTTTATTCAACCTAACTAATTTGATTCAGCAAATATTGTGAATTAGCTAAGCATTGTGCTATTTGCGATTCAGAGTGAATTCAGAGATAGAGAGCCTATCCTCAGGATGCTTCTGGGCTACTCGGGGAGATTTGTGAATGGAAACAATAAGCACAATACAATAATGATAAAAGAGACAAAAAATAAAGTGCAATGGGAATTGAGGAAGGAGACATTACTTCTAAGTAGGGAAACAAATGCAGCCTTATATTTCCACCTGTAAAATGAAAAAAAAAAGATGTCAAATAAAGTGTCTGTTTACATGTGAGACAGGACCACACAAACCGTCACTCTGACAATGCTTGTCCCCAAGTGATTTCTTACAATGTTATGAACAAATCGGTTTTTATCGTTTATGTCTGTTAACTTCCCCCCCCAAATCTCCCCAGATAGCTTTTTTACACTAATATAAATTCTAAACAGCACGTTTAGGAAAAATTTAAATAAACCAGAAGGTTTTTGCAAATGGTTTATTGGTAACAGTTTAAGGAGTCAAAAATGACCCTTCGTGAATTGTATTTATTAACATTTAGAACTTGGAGTTAAAAATATATGTATTTTTCTGTTTTCAACAGAAAAAAAACATTTGTTTGCATAGGAATTCATGAAGGTGACCCAACCTGGAAAAAGAACTATTCACTGTGGCCTTGGGGCTCTTGTGACAAATTAGTTCCTTCAGAGATTGTATTCAACCCTGAGGAGTGGATTAAACTTACAAGAAATATCTATAACTGGACTGCAGAATATGGAAGGTATGAACAGCAGCTGTATTTTTCATCAGAGCATAGCGGTTTTGTGTGCTTACTAAATTTTGAGATGCCCTGCATATTTTTGATTTTTTTGTATTAGTTATTAATACTATAATACTAGTTATTTGCTGCCCATGCAAATCATTAAATAGAGAACATGTATTTCTTGTCCTCGTGTTTGAAGAACAGTAGGGAGATGGGAGGGCAAGGGGGGCTGTGGTTGAGTGGGCTTCCCAACAATTTGGGGCATGGCACCTTCCACTTCCAACTCTCGTGATGCCGTATTGTCTGTCATCCTCTGTCTCGCACCCTGAAAGTGGAAGACATCTATTAACTGCCGTAGAGCTTTACGAGGTACTCTGTGTCCCATGATAATTTGCACAATGCATGAACTTACCCTATTTGTTGTTCTTCAGGAATGGCAGATAACTTCTCTCTGGGGGACACTGGCCTGTGATGAGTAACTCGTTCTTCACAGTTGTTCGTCATTAGCCTGCTCATGTTGTTTGGGACATGATCAGTCTTCCAATAAGCATCTCTACAGAGCTGATTCTCTCCCATATGGAAACTGAGTCACCATCTATAGAAATGTGCCTCCCTTGCCTATTTATAAGTTATGGATTATTTAAAGATTCGATAATTATTGCTTATAATTCAAGAACAGGCAAGATGATATGAAAAATGCTACAAAGGGGTTTTGGATCCATTCGTGAGCAAACAGACCACATTGCACCAACCAGAGATGGATAAGTAGGTCTATATCAAAGCACTCGGTGACCATGGTGAGGAAAAGTTAGAAAATAATCTATTCTGGGCACCCAGCTGGCTCAGTCATTGGAGCATGCAACTCTTGATCCCGGGGTTGTGAGTTTGAGCCCCATGTTGGGCATAGAACTCACTTAAGAAAAAAAGAAAAGAAAGACTATAACCTTTTCTGCAAACAGCTGACCAAAGTACAAGTACCCAGCACCACTCACTATGTCCATTCTATCAAAAGAGACACATAATAAGAAAGTCTAATTAAGAGAAAGAAAAAGTCAGCAGATGGTTCAGCCAGTGCCCTGTGATGGCATCCTTGCTGCAGCAATGATGTCAGCAAAGCCAGGAGCCCCTTCTCTCAGGCTTACCGCCTTGCTTCCCAGCTCTTTGGCTCTTGGCCGTGTCCGTAGAGCGACCCAGGCCTGGCCTCTGTCCCATTGCCCATCTCGCACTTCTTAAGGGACAGCACGTTCTTCAGATGCCTCCAGCCTCTTCCCACTAATCCTTCGTCCACTCCCATGGAGCGCTGGGGCTCATTATGCAGATTAAGAACACATTTACCAAATGCTCAAATTCCTAGCGATCAGATTTCTCTAGGAGAATAAGTTTATTATTTCGGTCCCTATCAGTCCTTCAAGATCCAACCTATTTTATTTGCCTTGTAAGATTATAAACAGGGATTACATGTCCGTAGCAATAAACGTAGCCAGCAGAAAAATGTCACTGTTTTCTTGTAACTGCAGGTTTGATCCATCTTCTTGGGAATCTGTGGCCGACGAAGAGATGTGGCAAGCAAGGTGACTAGCCCACACTTTTGTGTTTGCAGTCTGTTTTGGGGTCAGTGGTGATAATAAAATAGCATTTACGAGCAGTCTTTTTGTTTGAGGCATTGTGCTGATTGCTGTACATTCATAATCTCATTTTGCCCTCAAAACAACCTGTAAACCTATCAAGAAGTCGCTATTATCCCCGTTTTACAAAAGGACAAACTGGAGGTAGAGAGGTTACTTGTCCAAAGCCAAATAGCGACACGTGAGAGAGTCTGGAACTTGCGTCTGCCCCACCCAGGAACACTGCTCTGCTCCGATGCTCTCCTGCCTCAACTAAACCAAAGTGATTGAGGAGAAGTTGATAAGGCCCCAAATCCATGGGTAATGTGCTAGTTAATTATGTAAGCACTTACTCAGTGTTTCCTAGAGGCCAGACACCATGCCGCGTTTGGAAGCTACACCTATGAATACAACACAGTTCCTACCCTCAAGGAGCTCACAGTCTAATGGAGCAGATGGACTTGTTAAAAGAGATTTGAATACAGGTGTGCTAGATGCTATACTTTCCTGTTGTTCCTGTATGGAACACTTCACGGGGACGCTGTGGATGCTCTTGGTTCCTGTCATTATTTTAAAATATTCGAAATACTGGGGCACCCGGGTGGTGCAGTCGGTTAGGCATCCGACTCTTGGTTTCAGCTGGGGTGCTGATCTCAGGGTCATGGGATCGAGCCCCACGTGGGGCTCCGCCCTCAGCAGGGAGTCTGACTCCCTCCCTCTCCCTCTGCCTCTCCCCACTACTCTCTCTCAATCTCTCTCCCAAATAAATAAGTAAATCTTCAAAAAAAATAAATAAAATATTTAAAATATCTAACACTCACAGACTTTGGCCTAAATATAATATAAAAGTCCTCAGTGGCATATAGACGGGGAGACCAAGTACAAGGGAAGCATCTCCTTCAGGGAAGGAAGGGGGCCCACTCTGAGCCAGAGACTGTGCTTTGCAGTGAGGATTGAGTTATGATATAAGGGATTTACGTAAGTTTAAGGAGGTTTTTAAAAAGTTGCCAAGAAATAGAGCTTCAAAATAGCAATTACAAAAATAGCCGTACTGCGGTTTATGCAGCAGTGTTCTTGAAAAAGTCAGAAAACAGCATATTGCAAGTGATCAGCCTAGTTATAGGGACAAACACTTGCTTTGAAGAACTGATCAAAGATGCGCTGTGTGTTTGCACAATTCTTCACTGCGACTGAATGTAGGAAAGCTGGGGAAGAAATCACATAAAAGAAGAAAGCAGGTCATTATTCAGGCAGGTATTGATTTAATGGGTTTGCTGAAGACAATTTGGATGTGTTCATGTGGTCAAAGAGTCTAGCTACCTTTGAGGAACCAGTCACACATGGCATGAGCCATTGTAATGGGTACCTCAAGGGCTGTGCTGACAAACTCAGCAAGTACCCGCCTTCCCAGCTGCTCTCGCATGACAGTGACGTACATCTGGTGGAGATCTGATGTATAATCGTGACGATGAACTTAAGCTTTTTCCTAAAAGCTTTGGCAAGCAGTGTGAATGCAGCATGTTGGCAGCGGGGACACTTCTATGAATATGAGAGAGGAAAAAGTATATAATAAAGGGTTTTGTATGTTCTTTATCGGTGGGAAATCTGGCAGATATAGCTTTAAATGTGAAATTTGACAACATGATTTTAATGAAGGTTCCCCCCTCCCCCCGCCCCAATTCCCAGGATGAAAACACCGTTCTTCATCTTTAACCTGGCAGAAACCGCGAACATACCTTTAAATGTGAAGGCTCAACTCTACACTCACGCGTATAACGTACGTTACACTTTTGTATCTATAAATATGTTTGGTGGGAAGGTGGTGGTGATTGGAATGGGGAGTGTGTACCACAGTAGAGTTTTTACTTTGTCGTTTCTAGTCTTATTTGGCTTTATAAAGCAGTATAAATGGAAAACTACTTGTGTACCACAAATAATGTCTAAAGTAAATGGTGTGGTTGGCTGATGATACCCCCTCCCTAAAGATGCCCACATCTGCATCTCCACAGCCTGTGAATGGACGGATAGCCTTACATGCTGAAGGAGACTTTGCACGTGTGATTAAGTTAAGGATCTTGTGGTAGGAAGATTATCCTGGATCGTCCAGGTGGACCCAGTGTAATCACATGGCCCTTCTAAGAAGGAGGGAAGGAGAGTCCAAGGCAGAGAAGGAGAGGTGATAATGCAAGCAGAGGGCAGAGAGAAAGATTCAAAGGTGCTGGGTGGCTGGCCTGGAAGGTGGAGGAAGGGGCCACAAGTGGGGGAGTCCAGGCAGCCTCTGGAAGCTGCAAAGGGCAAAGAAACAGATTCTGGAGCCTCAAGAAAGAACACAGCCCTGCTGGTTTTACAAAAACCTTGATTTTATGTATTTTGACCTCCAGAAGTGTAAGATAATATGTGTATGTTGTTTTAAGCCACTGTGTTGGTGGTGATTTGTTACAACAGCAACAGGAAACCCATAGGGAACCATTGGAAGAGGACACAGCCCCCACCAAACAAGTTCTAACAGGTTGCCCTCCATGCAAACGTCCTGCTCCTCGCCTCACTTGAAGCGATGGGTTCGTGGCTGGTTGGGATTTCCTGAGAAAGATAAAGGGTCTTGGAGAGTGGCTCTGGCGCAGGTGGTCCTCGCTGGTGGGGAACAGGAGGATGGAGCAGAGGCTTGCTGTTGCCTTGTTGTAACGAGCCCCTGCTTTTCTGCGATTCATAGTCCTGGGCTCTTCAAACACCTTCGGAGACCGTCTGGGAGCCTGCTGTCTAAGAAACAGATGTCCTGGCAAGGACCAGTGAGCCCCGAGCCCCGGAGCCATCTCTGTGAGCAACTGAGGTGTCCCTGCCACCTCTAGACTGCTATGGGGCTACTCACCCAGCGCTGGTTTAGTGCTAAGTCCACATTGCACTGTGTCCCATCAGTACGACTCATCTTACTCCTGAATGTTGTGGTCATGGGCTCATTGTTTATTCATGTATTCACTTACTCACAGAGCATTTCTTGAGCACCCAGTCTGTACCCAATACTGTGATGGAGACAACCAAGCATTGTCCCTGCTACCCAAGAGGTAGCAGCTACAGAGGGAGACGGAAGATAGAGTCATCAGTTACATTAGTCTTGTAAGGGACATGAAGGGTTTGCAGAGGAACCGTGAGGAACAGCAGGCTGTACATGCATCCACCTCCTGGAGAGGGGCCGGTGAGGATGGGAGAGGAGCCTTCGGAGGAGACGTCCCTGGAGTGTCGTCTTGAAAGATCGGAAGGAGCTGGTGGGGCAGAGTAGTGAGAGAATGGGCCAGGGAGGACAGTCCACAGGGACAAGGGCAGAACCCTCCGAGGTGCCCACTCGGGGACAGCAGGGATGGATTATGGGAAACCAAAAGCTGGAGTTCTTTCTGGCAGTTGGCAGATCCAGGTGCAAGGCCTGCTGCACCATTAATTGCCGACTGTAAGTCAGTTCACCTTTCCAGGCCTCGATTTCTTCTAAAAATAAAAGTAGACTTTAAGCTTTATCGATTATGTCTCATGTCCTTGTCATGTCATAGCCCGTTCATCTCTAATACCCTGTGATTGTGTGAACAACAAGCAGTATTTAGTGGGGAGAAATCTGAGACTTACTGTTATTTCATATTCTCGTCAGTGACCCATTCCGTGGTCATTTGCCAGGCCAGTACTGAAGCTGATTCACGGATTTATTGTCCCTTTGGGCCTGTAAACTTTACTCTTTTCAGTGGACACAAGTCCATAGGTCTCTTCTTTGCATATGTCTCCAGAGGTGTGACCTTACTTGCAAGACATATAAGGTCAAATACTTGATGGGTCCACACAAATCCACCCCCTGGTACTGTTTTTCAAGAACATTCTTGTTAGGTGTAAGACATTTTTGTTGTTATTTATAGTATTCCACTCAATAGCTCATACAGAACTTTAAGTTCAGGGGACCTTAAGTTCAGGTGTAGTGGGGGAGCAGGGAATACCCCTATTTTCTTTAGGAATACATTTGATAAATGGGTGTCCCCAGTAAATAGGATAGAGTCTGCTAAGACATATGTCACAGTAACCCATAGAGGAGGAAATACAGTGCCACGTGATGAGAAATGACCGGCTTCTTAAGATACAGCACACGTGGCTTAATGGGCTACCCCGAATAAGTTGATGATGTGTCAGTCAGTAACAAAGTGTTCTAGAAACGGGTAGTATGCTTGTTCCGATAGCTAGCGACTATAAAATGGGGAGGACACGACTGAGCCTCTCATTCTCTTGAGCCATTGGGGAAGGGCTGGCCTCTGTTTTGAACTCCAGAACTTGGTAGGACTTCGAACACTTGGGAAAGTAAAGAACCTGAACAGTCCTGAGCGCGCCTGCTCTGTGCCTGGCAGCGCGCTGTGCACTTCACACACATCCCTCATCGGAGGGGCGCTCGGGAAGGGAAGCAATAGTAGAGTAAACAGACCACGAGGAAAGGTAGAGAAACACTGGATATTTGACTGAGAGAACGGAAGAGTAGGAGGCTAGCTTCAGAGCTTTGATGTACATGCAAGCACAAGGTGACTGTTCCCTTGGTTCTGGAGGGAAAGAAGCGAAGGGGGAAACTGCTTTAAAAGCCAACTTGAAGACTGACACTTATTAAATACTGAAATGAGACATGGAACATGAATTCTGGGATTTTTCCTGTGGATGCTATTTAAAAGTAGGTTAGGTAGGGATGCATTTATCTGCCCTGGAGTAGAAGTTGGGGCAATAGCTAGTATCTTGGGTCCCTTTCAACTGAATGATGTGATGGATACAGTTCTAACCGCAGAAGCCCTCGTCCCTCGAGAAAGCATCGTTCCTTGTTCTGTGCGCTTGCCGAGTCTGTGAACGACCTCACGTTCCTGCAGATCCGACTCCAATTTGCCAGCCCCCAAGAAGGCTGTGGAATTTCCACATAAGCAAGTCTAATATTCCACTGTGCAGATTTGGCTCTGCTTTATTTGTTAAATTTTAATGTTTCTCCCTGGAAAACTCAGTATCAAAGACTCAAACTCTGTCCAAATTCATACGATCTCTGATGTTGCAAAACAAAATTCCTGATTTCTGTGGGCAAAATGTTAACTATTGAAATTGTAATTATAGGGCGCCCTGAAGATTTTTAGTATCTTGCTCTAAGGATGTCTCTTAAATTCTTTTACACCCAGCCTATTTGATGATGGACTTGTTTGAGCTGGCTTATGGTTGCCATTGTTACTGCTGTTGTTTTTAATGAAGAGAGAAATTTATGTGAAAAGGAGGGTCAAAATTTAAATTCCTTCCAGCTCTTTTTCCATGCAGTTTTCTAAAGAAAGCTATTTTTTTTTCTCCAACAGCTAAATTTAGAGTTTCAGCCTTTCTGCCTGTTGAGTAAATAGCTTTCCATGAATTAGAACTAAATCCCTTTCCCGGAACATCTTTCTGGAGGAAGAGCATTTTGTCCTGACACAGTGTGTCTTAGGTTCCCTCTGCAACATCCGAAAAACCCCAGAAGCAGTTTTAGATGAAGCACATTTGCCTCCTGCCACTGTAATAGTTACAGTCACATTCTTGCATTTTCTGCATGGCCTAGCAACGATTCGATTTTTACTATAGGCTGTGTGGATTTTCCTTCTTGTGTGATTAATTCCTCTGTGTTTTCTGTGTTTTAAAAAAAAGTCAGGGGATAACAATGGAATACCAACATCTTTGCTGTTTTTCAGCTTTATAAGGAGATTGTCTCTTTACAAAAGGAACACCCAGTGAATTGGCACAAGAACTATGCTATCGCTTGTGAGCGGATGTTACGCCTTCGGGAAAGAGGTGCAGACCCTGAAGTCTTGTTATCTGAAACCATCAGACACTTCCGTCTCTACACTCAGAAAGCACGGAATGATCCACAGCTGCCTGATATTTTCGTTGTTCTAAAGCACCTGAGAAAGGAATTGCAAAGTCTGAGAAATAGGAAAAATGTCTGAGGCAGCAGGATGTGAAAAAACCTGCTCATCGTTCAGCTTCCAGAATTCCAAAGTCCAAAAGTTTTTCCTCCAAGAAAAAAAATTGTAAAAAAAAAAAAAAAAATTGAAGACTCAGCCATTTCCCAGATAGGGTACAGCAGTACTATTCAGTGGGGTGTTTGAGTGATTGCGATGTGCTACGTATGCAAATTCTATGTATCCCTTGTCACTTAGCATTTCAGTGAGAACCTTCCAGAAAACCCTCCTACTTCTGTCTTTCACCTAATGACTTTGCTTGAATAGATGCTAGAAGAGAATGGGCTATTTTCATGTACTTTAAATTTAATCGATTGTGAATCGTTTATTGGGATCAGTTTTGAAGATTGCTTATTGGGATTAGTTTTGAAGATTAAATTCATAAAATATTAATACCAGACCAAAGACACATTTTCTGTTTCTCAAAAGCGATTTTTTTTTTAAAGAGTGAACCTTGCTCTGCTTCAAATTAAAATACTTTTTTTTTTTTAAGTAGCTTTGGTTGTTACATAATCTCACACTTCAAGCTAAACACCAACCCAGTGAATATTTTGAAAAAAGTTGGGAGTTTTATTGTCTTTGATAATTCTCTGAAATTGTTAAAAAATAAAGCTGCTAATTTGCTTTCTTTCAGTTGCATAAAGTGGCAAATAAAAAGGATTTTGTATTTCCTTAGTTAATTTTATATTTATGTTTTACTTCTGTTTGGGCTCATAAATCCAGGCCCAATAATTAGTAGGCTCCTGCTGCCAAAATGCAAAAAAAAAAAAAGGCGGGGACTGGGGGGTGGGGGGGATGGGGAAGTGGTTCAATAAATTCATTTCTGTTACAAGCATCTTTTATACATATTACTAAAGAGAACATAGTAAGAAATGCAAATAATAGTTCTTTATTTTATTATGACAGTTAATTAATAGCAACCTGTTTTAATGAATAAAGTCACTCCGAGTCCTTCAGCACTTCCTAAGTAGAGGCCAGAATCTGTAGGGATTCTTTTCCCCCCAATTGTATAGTTCCTAGACTCCAAGCGCTATATAGGCCTCTGTATAGAAATGCTCACTAATGAAGAGGGAGGGCTAGAAGCTTGTCTGCATTCAAAGATCACTGGTGAGTCATTCAGCAAGAAAAGGCCCCTTACCAGGAATAGTCACAGTTCCGTGGCATTGTACTAGCAAAAGGGTCTGATCAAAGGTCTCCTGCGGAGCTTGCATGGTTCCCTTTCATACCACGACCATAATTAAAACCACTAATTCTCTTTTAAAATGCTGCAGGATGCCATGTAGGCATCTGTCTGGAGTGTCCTTTGTGATGTCATAAGCTGTTAAGGACCAGTGCCGAGGGCTTTTGAGTGAAATGCCAGTCATGAAGGTGCTTCAAGACAAGGGTGCCTCTCAAAGCTTGACAGGGCCTTGACTGCACAATTCGAGCTGAATTTGCCCCTTGTCAGCTGCCAGTAAATAAATCTCAAAGGGGGAAAAGCTGAAGTTTCATTACCTGATCCATGGGGCTTTGTTGGTTTTGGCATCACACAGGGGAAGCCCTTGCCCTTCCATTCTCTGGATTTGAAGATGTCCATTGGAGCCTGCAGCGCCTGGACAGGGTTCAGAGCGGAACCTTTTGAAGAGTGTCAATAGTTGTAACAGTTCAGCTGTTAGGAAGACAAATAAATGGAGGAGCTCATTAATCCGCTTTTGGCTCTCGGTGCCTTTTGCCCTTTTATCACAGCCTTATTAGGCTCCTACTCATCTTGAACCAGAAAAAAATGAATTGGAGTTGTTGAGTACTAATTGGCAAAGACTTTTCATCATGGGCCAAGAACTTTCACTGACTTGAAAGTAACTTCTCCACAGGGAAGAACCAAAAACCTGGTTTACCTTAAAACAAAAACCTGTTGAGTTCGGGGTGGTGTAAAAATTTAAGGAAGCGTTGATAAATTGTCTAAGTTTATCCATTTGAAAGAAATCATGTGAGATTTCTTTGGATTTGGATTTCCACTTTTCTTAAAGAGGAAAAGTACAATAAAATTCAAGTGAACATTCCCGGGACATGTGTTTTTCTTGGTTCAGGAGAGATGGCGTGCATGGGTGAGGTGACGGAGCATCAGTAGGTACGTGGGCGTGAATATGCATTTGGGCATCTGTATACACGTGGCGTCGGAAGGACCTTATGGAAAGGAAGATTTCCTATTGATGGCCTTGAGGATGGCAAGTGAAGGCCTCTTTTTGAGGGTACCTGCCTATTACATTTGTGTCTATATGGAGGCGCTCTGTATATATGTCTGAATATACTTCGTGTATTGACTGTGGTCAAAGGTTGCATAGATTCTTCTGTATAGTACTTTGTGAACAGTGGCTTTGGACCGCTCTCTGTTTGAGAAAGCACTGATACCTATATGATGGCCCGAAGTCAATAGGATCGTAATTATTTAAATTGCTAAAAACCCTCAGTACATGCAAAAAACAGCAAGCTGAGCTGACTTGGGCACGTTGGGCTTCATTCCCAGATCAGCTGTTCTGAAGCATTCTTTCCTTTCTCTTGTGTGTGGTTAAACAGGTTGCTTTCTCTTTCTTTCTCTTCCTTTTCCTTGGCTGGTGCACGAACACCACAAACGCCGACAGAAGGGGTCTCCTCTAGTCTAACCCCCTCACGTGGGAGAACATGTGAAGGAGGTGACTTCTCATGCAGGATTTGGCCAGGATTCTCCTAGCAATGTCCCCGGAGTGCCGCGGGTTGGCAGGACGACAGGAACCCCACAAGGCCAACTTCTGCCTGGACTTTGGCCTGAGGAGCAAGTGGGAGCCAGCAAAGCCAGCCGCTCTCCCTGAGCTGCGGTGCCCTCCTGCCGGGCCCCAAGGCTGGCGCACACGAGTGCAGGGACCGAGGCTCCGTGCCCTCTGACAACCCCCCCCGCTCAGCCCCACGCCCATGATGGGAGCTATGCTCCGTTCTTACTGTTGACTCTACTCTTCTCTTTGTGGCTTTCAAAGGTCCCATTTTAACAAATGCTTTTGTCCTATGACTCAAAGCTCAAATGGAAGGGCATCATTACTAGTACACTTTCTTGAGATCTTCTGATAGACACTGTGAAATGTTATCTCTGTCCATCTTCCTAGTATTTTCTGATGATAGAACCGTTATGTTTACTTAGCCTTTATGATATCTAAACAATTGAGTGTTAGGGTGATTTTTTGAAACCCAGCTGATTTCTTTAAGTCATCAGGCTAGGATATATGAAGACTAGTTTTTTTAATTTATATTTTAAAAGTTAAACAATGTGAGTCCTTAACCACAGTACCCACCAATATCCCTTGGAATTTAGGAATGTTAATACTTTTGGGGCGCCTGGGTGGCTCAGTCATTAAGCGTCTGCCTTCGGCTCAGGTCATGATCCCAGGGTCCTGGGATCGAACCCCGCATCGGGCTCCCTGCTCCGCGGGAAGCCTGTTTCTCCCTCTCCTCCTGCTTGTGATCCTGCTCTCACTGTGTCTCTCTCTGTCAAATAAATAAATAAAATCTTAAAAAAAAATGTTAATACTTTTAATATTCAGAAAAAAAGTTTTAATACCAAAGGTTAAAAAAAAAGGATCCTGTTACAACAAATCCTTTTACTCTGTTTTGATGCTGGTATATTTTGTAAATGCACCAATGTAGAGTATTACTGGTCTTCTAAGTGGCTCCGAGTCCTATGGTTAGGTGAAGAAAAGAAATTCCGGCTCAGCAAGATGTCCATCGACAGATGACTGGATAAAGAAGATGTGGTATATATATACAATGGAATATTATGCAGCCATCAAAAGGAATGAGATCTTGCCA